TAATTTAAGATAGTTATTAATGTCTTGAAAACTCCAAATCTTATATATTTTTCTATATCATCAAATATTTATGACTTCATGGGCAACAAAGAAATTTCTTTCATTTTTATTTATTCAGAGTTTAAAACGAATCTGCTTCATCAGGACTGTGCGGTTGCTGTATCCTGATTGGTGCTTAGACGTATGTGCCATCTATTTAGTCAAATTAAGCCCCACTTACGTCACACCAGTGAGAAGAACACAGAGAAAATCAGACATACAGACATCTCTCCAGTGAAAATACTGCACTAAAACTTTTTTGTATTTGTTCTCATGCGACCCACTCAATCATAAAAAAAAAAGCTGATTGAAAAAATATGTTTTTAGGGCCTTTAAATGTGTGTTACCACAGTTGGTCAGGATTTTCAGTGTCCTCTAATGTGTGCTCAGCAAGAGCAGAATAAGATGAAAAGCAGAACAACCCACGGACAAATTTTCCAGCAAGCAATAGCAGGATCAAAGAAGTCATACTTTTGAGCGAGCTAAACCAAAATCCTTGATGTGCACACTGAATAGCCCAATTTTGAAAAGCAGCAGCTCCGTGTTGAACTTTACATGGATTAAATCATGCCCTATTTGAGTGGCAAGAAATTCTCTGTTAACACAAATTAAGCGTAAAAACACATCCTCCCCCGTCCACCCCCAGCCCTCAGACCTCCTCTCAGTCTATTCACCTGAATCTAAGGCAATCATTAAGCTGCCCTGTGACGCCCATCTAACACCAGTGTTTTTCCCCCCTAGACCGATGGCTCCAATAAACCCCTTATTAATTTTGGCTCCATCACCAAACCCCCACAATTGAACAAGCTGAGAAACATGCTCCTTTCTCCACAATAACAGTGGACTGACTGGGGCTGAGAGGTTAGGAAAGTGACAGTAAAGGCCAACTAATGATGCTGAGCGGCAAGAGGCGAGGAAGCCAGGTCTCTTAGCAACAGTTTCTCCTCTCTGCCGACACTCTGAAACCGGCTGCAATAAACAGAGTTTGTGTGTGTGTGTGTGCGTGTGTGTGAGCAGATATATGTGTCTACTGTAGCAGGCGGCATCAGTTTGACACTACAAACAGCTTAGCATAATGTCTCGTGGCAAGTTGGACCAAAACATGGCTTTTGTTTTCTTGTCTGTGTTTGCATCGTGTGTGTGTGTGTGTAATGATGATAAAGAAAGTGTGAATGTAATAGATTCAGCTGGGGAACAGCACAATGAAGAGACTTTAACTGAGTGCAATCACCCACATATCGGAGCCAGCTGTTTGGCTGTTTAATGAATCCATGATGTGGTTGTGAGTGTGTGTTTGCGTGCACTATGTTTGATGTAAAGGGAGTGTATTCGTTGAGACCATACAAGACAAAAATCCCTCTTTAATTCTGACACATTGGTTAAACCAAAGCAACCGTATGAGCTTAAGTAATATAACTTTAACTATGTATACATCAATCATTACAGCACCATTAGCTGTTTTCAGCTGCTTAGCACAAATTTAACTCTACTTGCAACTCGTCTTTACTTTAACCTTAAAAATGTTCTTAAAATGTCCGAGCTACTGTACGTGCATGATGTCTTTCAGTGGTGTGTGTGCATACACTTTAAATCACAGCACATACACACATTCATATTTGTGATTGTGTGCATGCTCAGACATCTGTGGGATAAATCTGATTCTATGTCTGTGCTGGTGCCTCTGCCCTGTCTTGTTCTGTGACACTAACAGTGTAAAAAATGTATTTCAGATACACAGCACATGCAAGTGCATTGCACCCTCTTGAGTTGAATCATAAGAACTTCCTTTACAACACAGAAGGAAACGTTTATTTCACCACCAGTCATCACACTGACAGTCCACTGCTGTTTTATTATAGAATAAAATCAACTGTATTATCAAATATACACAGTAAAGTAAATGTTGTCCTCTGCATTTAACCCAGCTTAAGTACTAGGAGCAGTCACTGTACAGAGCCCAGGGACCAACTCCAGATCTGAGCCTTGGTCAAGGGCACTGACTGGAGAATGAACCTAACGCAGACACGTGAGAAAACATGCAAACTCCTCACAGAAAGGCCCTGCCCCAGTCGGGAATCGAACCCACTGCTGGTGCTAGTTTGACTTATTCTTAATACAGCTGTCATAACCCGAAAAAGGAAGCTCAACCAGCCTTGCCTCTTAAAATTGTACCCATTATTTTCATTATTTATTATTCACAATACACACTGTACCATAACAATGTACAATACCATGTACAATATCAGAGATGTGGAAATATTTTTCAATCATTTTGGCAAAATGCAGCCTAAATTTCACTTAAAATAATCTGCATTAATACATACTCACTGGCCAATTTATTAGGCATACCCATGTCAACTTCTTTCATATAAAACAACTGATTTTTATTCACAGAGAGAGAGAATTTTTGATTTTAGTTGTAGATTTTAGTTTAAAAACAGGAAAGAAAATGTTGTTTCTGTCTTAAAGTAATTTTCTGAACATGGTGACGGCCATATGGTGTTCCTATAGTCTTACTGGTAATTCATACTGTACAGTATAGGGGCAAATATTCAGGATTCAGAAATGCATTATTTAGTGAATTTACCCTGGGCTTACAGACTCAGCAGCTGTCCTTCTGTGTACCTAATGAGATTCAACATTATATGAATGCAGAGAAAAATCAAACATAAAACCACATGTTTGCTGTGTTAGATCCTGTTGTGCACCCACTTATCAAAGAACTACAAAGCCTTACCTTTTTTTGTGCAAAAGAAAACTCAAAGTTCTCATTTGTTACAATGAAGAGGGCTCAAAAATTTAAAATAGCCTCCTCCATCCCTGTTAAATAAGATAAAGGCGCTTGTCTATAACTCTGACCTGAAGATCTCTGGTGACACCTGCCGTTTGAAAAGAGCACTGCAGGTTGTATTTTTCTCCTCTGTTACAATATTGAGGAAGTTCTTAAAATGAGACGTACAAAGCACAATATAAAAGTTTTGCGTGTATTACTATTACAAGACATTTTTTTCTCATTAATTTATGTCAGATTAATTAGTCAATAACGGAGATTGATCGGAGCAGACAGGTCACAGGTTCAATAAGGCCCCAGGTTGCTAGGTAACGTTAGCTCGTTTAACGTTCCAAAGTTGTCTCCAACTGCCGACACGAAACAAATATTATAAGGTAAATATTATAATGTAAATATTATAATATAACGTTAAGTTACAGTATATAAATGAATGGAAGAATACACGGAAGATTAAATGGAAAACAAAACACGCACCTCCTGGTAAGTGACCCAACAAGGAGCTCGAACAGAGTCAAAAATAGCTCGGCATGGTAGCTAGCTAGCACGCTAACGTTAGCATTACTGCAGGTAGCATTATAATAGGGCAAATGGCGGATACATGGTTACACATGAAAACATGTCTGCAGTACAATAAAGTAAAAATTATAGCCACAATAACAGTGTTTTATTATATATCATATTGGTATAGTAATGTCCATGCTTACTTCTTCCAATAGGTCTATGCAATAGGCTATATTAAGGTTTATAATTTGGACTAATGGCTTTATCAATATTTCTAAATTATTTATTAATGCTTTACAGATCAGTTATAAGCCATATAAACAACTTTTGTGACTTGCTTTGCCTTTTTAATCTTTCTGTTTAATTCACCTGAAGGCTTCCTCCAATAGAGAGTTTGGCCTCTGATCTTTTGGCAAAGAGCTGTACAACATCAGGATAACAATTAATTTATGTTACAACACAAATATATAACATCAGACATTGATTACTGTAATAAACCTTTATTAATGATTTAACATTACACTTCACTTTCTAAGTTGCCTTATTAATACATGAGAAACTCATGACCATTCATTAATTCATTATTTACTGATGGACCTGATATTTAACACTCTTCATTGTTGACTTAAAATAATGACAATCACTTTCAAATAAACCAATAGACTTGTTGGATTATTAGAAAGTTGGTTAACTGAATAATAAATATTAATATTTCCGGCAGTCGGAGAAAGTTTTCACAACCTGGCAACCCAAAAAAGTTTTTATTAATCTATTACAACTGACCTATGAAGCATTATTAAAGTATTTATTACCCTTCAACCAAGCCACGTATCCTGACTTATTATTAGAAAGTGGTACTAATTCTAAAATATATTTTAACACATTTTAAAATCATACTTCTAGCTGGTTAATGTGAAAACAGTTTATTTAAGCAGCAAGCCTTTATAATTCAGGTTACATTTCAGAACCATGGCCAGCTCCAGTTCAGCACCAGGGTCAGCTCTACAGCTGTGTCCAGTCTCGGATCAGAACCAGACTGTACACAGCCTGTATGGTCAGAACCATGAGAGGAGAGGGTCATAAAATACCTAATGATACTGTATATAGACCATATGCTATATGTCTTATCATAGACCTATGTCATGTGTTTTCTACAATATTTATGTGGTTCTCATAATCCAAATAATGGGGTTCTGTTTACTTGATAAAACATAAAAAGAGAGAAACAAAATAAGAACTCATTAGAAAACATAGTCATGCAATGCTGCACATTGTTGTTACACTTCAGTTTACCTCTGTGTATTTTGGGATAGGTGCTAATATCCCATAATAACTTTCCTGTTTTCACATGGGTTATCATTCTGTTATTATGAATTGACATCCTTGAGATCCTAAAGCTCTTAAACACGCAGGATCAAGTATTAAATAAGATCCTATTGATGAAAACGCCAATATTGAATCGAATCGAACAATCGCGTTCAGTCTAATGACCTATAATACACTTTTACTAAATGCATTATTGTACAGTAGCTCAGTGGTTGCACCATTTTTTTATTGTGTCTCTCTCTCTGTCTCCCTCTCTCTGTCTCCCTCTCTCTCTCTCTCTCTCTCTCTCTCTCTCTCTCTCTCTCTCTCTCTCTCTCTCTCTCTCTCTTTACGCAGCTACTCCACACGGCTGCGCATCCCTGGTCGGAGCTGTCAGGAAAAACTCCCAGGAGCATGAGGCAGGCTGATAGCTTTGGGGAACTGCTTTCCAGGTGAACACTGTTAGACGAAGAGCTGAAGAGCCACGGAGGGACCAGTCCTTGTCCCGGACGCGAGCGGCTACAAGAACCCGCTGGAAGCTCGACTTGTTTTGGTTGTTTGGTGTGATTTCTCTACACTTTCCACTCTGCAGACGTTATCCAGAGGCGAGACTGCTGCTGCTTTAGTAGTTTAAGCAGCTGCCGGGGTTTACAGCAGGGTTATTGCAGCCCCTTGGAAAAGACCCCTCTTGTACTTCGGGTCTGGTGTGTGTAGAGACTCACGTAGGCATAGCGGAGTCTGATGCAGAAGTGAGGACGGGGTTTGGGTGAATTTGTGGATCTCAGTGGCATCGTTTCATTGCGCAAATTAAATCAATAACTGTTTTGAAGATCGCCCCCCCAAGACCGAAGTCCGGCAACCTCCCATCTTTCTTCCGTGTTGCCGTCACCATTGTGCAAGGACTATGTTGATGAAGGAGTACCGCATCTGCATGCCTCTCACAGTGGAGGAGGTAGGTGAAGTTTTCTTGGCTCTTGTGATGTTTTGTGTCCTGCTCCGCCTGCTGGTGTTCTTCTCTTCCATCGCTGATCCGTAACAGAGTAGTAGAGTTGCAGATCAGCACATTTTTGTTGGATTTGCTGCAGTTTTTTTTTAACTGTGGAACCGATTATTGCAAAGTTGTCAGTGGCGGTGCGCTTATCGTTTTGCACCAAAGGACAAAGTGGGCCACTACAACCGAGGTGCGGTCAGGCAGCCGCCGCGGGGTGGAGCTGCTGTTGTCTCTCCAGTAGCCTGTGCTGCTTTGTGTGTCGTGCAGTTTACTGTTAGTGAGAGTGTGAACAACAGCAGCAGCTGCAGCAGAGTGGTTATTATAGGTAGTGAAGTACAAATCCTGCATCTGCTTTGCTTTGAGTGTTTGGATTGTGGTGCTTTGTGAGTGGTTCAGAGTAATGTATGTAGATTTAGAACAAAAACCTTTCTACCTTTGCTCACAGCTCTTGTTCTGTTTCTTCTCTTTCAAACACCACTGTTTATTTTTATTATGCCTCTGTCATGAATTATGAGGACGTAAAGGGTGTTACCTCTGTACTCCTTATTTTTATGTTGCAGGAATTGATGCTTATGCATTATAAAGTATATTGCTCTGTCTCTGTGCATACTTCTGATCATGTTTCATTTGTAGAGACACATTCACACACAGTATTTGTATTTGTTGATGGAAATAGGGTGAAAGAAAGGATGAGGAAGGGCTCAGTTCAGTTCAGTTCATTTCAGTTTTATTGTCATATGCATATTTAGTACAGGGTACCACAGCAATGAAATACAATGTGCCATCTGCGGACCGAAGTTCCCCTCAGGGACAGTGACAGAAGCAGCTTCACAAAAGAGAAATTCTGCTGTGTTCTGAGATTTCACGATGCCAATAAGATCCAATTTTTCTTTTCAGCTCAGTTCTGACTGTATTTATTTGATTTTTGCTTGGTCCTGCTCCTGTCTGTCCTTCATCTGCTCTACCTTTTTATGGAGTGGCATTAATCACATGAATGGGCACCCTTGTGTCTTGTCTATACTTTTTTCATACAGTGGTGGTATGTGATGTTATAAGAGGTGTAACACATTCTTTCCAGTGTTACCTCAACCTAAACAACAGATGTTCCAGCTGAGGTGTTTTATTGAGTTTACCTGTGTCATAAAGGTTTTACACACCATTTAACCCAGGTTAGGGTGTGACACGAGATGTCACTGGGAGTCAGTGCACTTCTGAATAAGTGTGTTACCATAGTGGTTTACAGCGTCACTACCAATAAATTGTGAATTAGTCTACTGTGGAGTTTGTGAAGATACAGCCTTCACTACAGGTTGGCTGAGGATAAAATTGGAGTCATCGGTAACTTGAACAGCCTCTCTTGAAATCATTTGATCCTTATTTTGCTCCGATTGTCCTGCTTTGGGACCTTTAAATTCTTTTACCAGGATGCTGCTTTATCACATATTTTCCTATGGAAATATGGCTGATTGGCTCCTCTGCTGTGCTTTAGTGGTGATTGAAGACACTGTTGTCCTCTAGCCAGCTAAAGGCTACTACATCTGTTGTTGATGATAACCCCAAGGATAATAATGGGGTCTGACCTATTCAATTGATCTGTCATTTACTTGACAAATGGGCATTTGTAATCTATTCATTTTTTGCAGCAATGCAAGTGCACAGCCACTCACTCACAGACACATAAATCATACATTCATCATCAGATCAAAGAACTGGGAATGACAAAACAGTAATTATGAGTGGAACTCTCCCAGCTTAAAGGAGTGTTTGGAAAATGATTTTCCAATGCAAACACAAAGTACAAGAAAACCCATTTACTGATCTTTACTATTCAGTTCAGCAGAAACCAATGACAGTTTCAAGTGTCAATTTTCTTTCAGTGGTGCTGTCACCTGGACTGCTGCTATTTGCGCCTGTCACAATTGGACGCCTGAAAACACATCTGACACACAATCAGTATACTGCATTTTTCCTTGGATTCATGATGAGTAATGACTCATTTAGTGCTTTGGTGTCCTGGTTATAGTGTATGCATTGCTTACACAACCCCTTATAAGAGTCACGAATCAGAATCTCCTCGAATGGCCTTGCAGCATGAGAGCAACATGCTCCTCTTCATATGAGTCTCGTACTGAAATGGACTGTTTTGTTGCACAAAGACATGACTAGATAGTTAAAGTCAAAAGTTCAATTTTGTCATCAGCAATCCTGAATAGGCTCTGCAGGAGACTCTTCGAATGGCGATTAAGTTGAAGCACTGCTGAGAAAGCAAATTGGAGACACTGTCATGATGATCTCTTCATGGTAGAAGGGCAATTCAGTTTGTTGGGGGGGGTTTATATTACAAAGAAAAAGCTGCAGTGCTGTTTTCTTTCATGCACATAATATGCAAGGATCTGAGTATTCTGTTCATAATGTGCATTTATTTGTGTGATTTATATTGCTGCTTCAGTGCATTTAGGACTAACATGTAGCTCTACATTGTTAAATTCATGTTAACTACAGTATGAATGTTATTTGTGAAACAGGCATGTGACATAGTTTGATGGTGGACTTTTCACAGTCACTTTGGTTTCATTGATCTTGAGGTTTCTCCTCCAATTGTATTTGTGTGTGTGAAGATTCAGTTTAGATACTGTATCTTCTCAGATCAACATTATTATTATTATGTCACAGTTGAAATGAAATGTATTTCTGTCTAAGTGCCTCTGCTGGTATACACTGCAAACATTTCAGTTCCTTTAATAGGAGAGGATAGGAGAGAGGCCAGAGGATGTATCTGTCACAATATAAACCCAGAGGATGATATCATTTGTGATCATGTCAGTCATCTTGTAGCCACAGAAAGAAAGAAAAAGTCAGCCAGAAAACCCAAACAAGTCACTTGACAGAATTTATAGTCGCATCCATTTCCAGTTGTGCTTGATGTTCCTTTTAGTAAAAAATAAAGAGAGAAGCTTTTTGAAGTTTGAAATCAACAAACATACAAACGACAAAAAAGATGTGTAAATCCTAAAATAACAATGACATAGATACATAAGACTTTTTCTTGCAATGGTCTCATTCTGCATTCTTGCGTAAGGATAGTGCTAACACTAAGCAGCCTCAATGGGAGCTTATCTTCTACTGCAGCAAGAGTGACTGACACCTGTTTTGATTACAGTGACATCATTCAGTCAGTGTAAGGTCAGTCTCTGGGGGTTTCCATATGTCTGTTTGTGTCCCTGCACACTGAGATGCCCCACAGCCCTTCTAGGCTCAGACCCAAAATCTTGTTTACGTCCCCAGAGGAGAGAATCTGTGCTCTGACTAACGGGAAGCCTGTTCCTTCATTTTTCCCCGAGGAGCTCATGGCTCAGCCAGACAGTGACCTGGCTCACACACACCAGATGGAGAGAAACATGCTTACTCAGATGATCTGCCAGACGTCAAAGGATGAACCAGATAGAGAGAGATAGAGAGAGAGAGAGAGAGAGAGAGAGAGAGAGAGGGGAGAGAAAGAGAGAGAGAGAGAGAGAGAGAGAGAGAGAAGGCATGTGTGTTGAGAAGGTGATTGATTGCTTTGGGTAACTGTCTGAGTCTGCCTAAGTCAGCATGATTTTGTATACAATATACAGATATTGAGGCAGTTTAAGGATGTGACATCCCCACACCGTGATTAGCATTTTAACACACTTAGATTAGCTTAGCATCGAGACTGGAAACTTGGGCAAACAGCTAGCTGGCTCTGTCTAACAGTAATAAAATCTTCCTACCAGCAACTCTGTACAGTAGTTATATAAATCATTAAATAAACATGTTATATATTGTGTGTTTAATCTGTACCGATACCAACGTATAAAAGCAAAAAAATGTTGAACTAAGTCCTTGTAAAACTAAATTCATTAAAGTCAAAACTGGTAAATCTGGTTTGGTGTACTGCTGCTAAAAAAAAAAAGTGTTCTCATCTATTTTATTTGCTTCTATTTCATTATTTTTATTTATTTTACTTTTTCTAATATACTTTTGAGCTAGAACAATACAACTAGTTTCTCCACAGGGATCTATTACTGTTTCTGATTGCTGTCTAATGATATCTTCAGTACCCACAAAAATATCTCACATACAGCTATGGAGGATTCATTCTGACATTCCTTTTCAGATTACATTGAGCAGTGCTTTTTCTGCCTCATTAATTACCATGCAGTTTCTTCCGCAATTAATCAACATTCACTGTCTTTTCTGCACCTGAGCAGCAGTTGAATTACCCTTACTGCTTGTTTGATCAGCTCCGGAGTAAAGAGCTTTGGAGCATGGATTGAGAGAACAAGAACATCATCTTTACACTGTTAAAAGAAAGGGGAAGTGCCTGTTTGCCCTCATCATTTACTAAAGGCACTAATCTAAATTAGCCCTCTGAGTCATTAAAATGGAGCTTGGTTTCACTTTCCGTCAGTGCTCGTGGTTAAGCTACTTATCAGATTGGCCTTGGTTCTTCATTAAAAACCTTACAGACCACCTCTGGTGCTGCCTCTCCATGATGTATAGGACATCACAGGAAACAGCCACTCATTAGTCCACACCCATCATTGTAACCGATAGAAGCTCCAGATATTTTCAGAATGAACCGTACTGTGTGTCACCTGCTAATGTTTTCCAGTAACAAGTTGCATCAGTTGCTTTCACTGTTGGGCTGGGTTCAATGGTCTGTACTCAATGTGTGCAATTTGTGTATATCTTCCAACAATAGTTGATTCAATATGACTGTGTTTCATTCATCAGTTCATCAGTTATCTACCTGCAGTCTGTGTGGTTATTTATCTGCATGCAATTACTTGAATTGCTTCCATTTGCCTGATTTCTAGTTATCCAGCTGCCAGCATGCCGGCTCATAGGACAGCACCCACTGTGCACATAATTGAAACCCTGGTGGTATTTTTGATGTTATTGCGCACAAGCTTTGTCGCACAAGATTATGGTTCCTC